AGGCCTCCTCCATGACTCTGTCCGTGTCGGCAGTCCCTCCCGTCGCAAAGTGGTAGCCGGGCTACCACTTTGCGGAGGTTGGCCAGGGAAATGGTTCCTGTTTGGTTCTGGGCCGCATTGTATAGCTTGCGAACAGCTGCGAGGAGGTCTTGCCCCATGCCTCTGGCGGTCCCTTTCTTCTCTCGGTTTGCCAATGCTACCAATCCGTCGACCATGTTCTTGATAGCGTCGATGTCAGAGGGTGGGGGGGAACGAGGAGGTGTCGGGGGGCCGCTTGAGTGTCGTGACTGGGCCGGTCCTCCTCCTCTCCCTTCAGTTGGAGGGGTGGGGGCGGTCATTCTGTCCCATGCAAGGGCTCGAGGGCTCAGGGGTTCAGGGGCTCAGGGGCACTAGGGCGTGGTCGCCTGGGCAACTGTGGGTGGGAGTCAGGTGACCTGTTGGTCCGTGCGCTAGTGAGAGTTTTTCGGGATGTCTGCAGCACCTCGAATCGCCCTACTTTCCACACCCACCGCGGCCACGCAGCAAAGTGCGCGGGCGTGCAGTCGGCGTAGTTAGATAAGGTTTTCTCAGAGCTTTCGAAAGGCGCCGGTTTTGAAGACTTTACGCAAGTAGTCAAGAATCGGCTTTTCGCTTTCGTGTCAGTATATCCATACACAAGGCAGATATACGAGTTGGCAAGGCTGCAGCAACGGAGAAGGAACTCGGTTGACTTCCTATGGATACCAGCGAAAAGCGACTTCGCTCTGGGAACAGAAGCTAAAGCGGCAGCGCAGAGGGCGACAAAGCAAGGACATGCACCCCGCTCCCAAATGGCCCAGGCCAAGTCTACTGCAATCAGACTGGCAATAACCAAACAACGACATGGATGAGCGATCGCTGAAGGTGTGGGCGAGTTCTCGAAGGCTTTTGACGCGGCAATACCAGCTAAGCACACTCGCGACCTCTACGTCAAGCTGAAGCGAAGCGAGGCATGCATACTGGCATAACTCCGAACTGGAATGGCGAGGCTGAACGGCTTTCTGAAGAGGATTGGTGCGGTCGAGTAAGATATTTGCGCCTGTGGCCAGGCGAGGGAAACAGTCGACCACTTTCTGTTCCGATGCGTGAGATGGATCGATCTGAGAGAAGGCATGCTGCAAGGCTCAGCGACCAGGCGAGGGAGCCTCTCGTTCTACCTGGGAGGGAAAGAGCGGTCCGACCCAAAGGAATGGTCACCAGACATGAAAGCGGTCCGAAGACACAATCAAGTACGCAATGGCAATGGGGAGATTGGATGCGGATGGCGAGCAAGACAAAGACTGAATCAGTCACAGTAGGGGGACTACACTAACACCACACAGCCTCAACCAGCAGATCCCGCTTGTTGCTGAAGATGGGACGCTGAACACTTGGAGAACGTAACCTCCAAGACGATCTGCTATCGACCAAGGCAAGAGGCAAGAGTTATTGGGAAGCTTTGCGCAAAGGGCAACTCAAAGGTAAGTAAGTAAGTTGGGAGAAGCGGACGAACCGTATGTATTTAGCGTGCCAAGGCCCTTTAGGCTTAGTGCCTCCGGGCGAAATAAAATCCATCCATCCATCCATTCGACCCTCTCGAACTTGCTTGATTGAGTCCTCGAGAGGCCCGTGATTGCTTGGTTGATTTGTTGACTTGATTAACACGATTGAATTGTGAGTAGCGCTGGGTCACCTGTGGTTTCTAAAACTAGCTCTCTGTACCTCTAATGATTCACTACCTGTACTCTGAATGCTGAAATGGGGACCAGGTGCAGATTTCACAAGCTATGATGACATGGAGCCTTGTGGTCATCATCGTGTATATAAAATGCCTAATTGAACAGGGCTTCCCATCCAGGGAGACTGCTCTCCTCGACGACAGTCTCGCTTAGATAATGCCGACACAGACGTAGGTATATGCTTGGATCGACCGGCATGCCTCCTCAATTCCGTTCCAAAGCTTAATCCACTGGCCGCCAACGCCGTTCCAGAAACCGATACCGTCGCAGGTATCCCCAGGATTGACGTAGGCAAATTTATTGCAGTTACTCACCATGCCTGGGTGGGCGGGCGTAGGCGTCGGGATGCCATTTCCGGAGATGACGCCGACACAGACGTAGGTATATGCCTGGATCGACCGGCACGATTCCTCGATACCGTTCCAAAGCTTCACCCACTGGCCCCCAACGCCGTTCCAGAAGCCGATAGCGTCGCAAGAATCCCCAGGATTAACGTAGGCAAACTTGTTACAATTGCTGATCATTCCTGGGTGAGCGGGTGTGGGGGTCGTGATGCCATTGCCGGGCTTCGTCGTTGTCGACGGCGCTGGGGAGCCTCCAATGACGCCGACGCAGGCATACTGGAGAAGGGAGGTTAGCACTGCAGTGCCAAGGTCTAGTTTTCCAACGAAGCTAAAGAGACGTAAGCAGGTGACATACCGTTGAAGCCCACAGGCCGGAGCAGTCGCTTCCAGCGGCAGGATTCCACTGAATGAATTGAGACGCGGTGATGGAATACAGGGCTGAGATCGTTGCGCAGGTTTGGCCCTGTTGCACAAAGTGAAATTTGTTACAGTTTGAGATCATGCCGGGCTGGGTGGGCACTGGCGTTGACACCCCATTGCCGGGGACGGTACTTGTCGTCGTGGTTGGCGGAAGAGTGGTCTTAGTTGACGTTGTCGTTGGGGGAAGAGTGGTGGTGGTTTGGGCAGTCGTCTTGGTTGACGTGGTTGTCGGCCCGGGGGCAGGTTCAAACATTGCTTCCACGCAGTACGACCGCCCCCCCTGGAGTGTTCCGCAGTTTTCAGGGACGGATGGATTCTTCAGATGTTACGTCAGCACTTGTGTTTTACACTTTCGCGATGAACGGTACGCGGCTTCCTCACCCATCTACGGAATGTCGCCAGAGTGATTGCATTGTCGGAGAGTATACTGCTGCAGGCCACGGGCGTGGTCAAGTCAACCCACCAGGTGCAGTAGCTTGTGGTATTCGGGTCATAGGTGAGGCCGGGGACTGCATCACGGGGAGTGACACGAGTCACCGCTGCCCCGAGAGCCACATGGAAGAGAGGGGTAATACCCAAGAGAAGAGAGGTTAAGGTGGTCAACATGATAATCAGTTGGCACTGAACCCTGAGCATGCCGATCCGCAGAGAACTGCTGATTTATTGGGCTGTTGTTTATACTTCTATGCCCCCCTGCCCCCCTTTCTCAAAGGGCTTGCACAAGGGACTCTAGCTGATAACTTGAATCCAGCTTTGAGCGTTTCCTATGACTGAGTCCCCTCTTCTCCGTGGAGTCATCAAGGTAAGCACCAATGATGGTTTTACGTACAACACGAGGTCCTCATGCAGTACACCTTCAAAGTACTCCCACCGGCTGGCGATAATCCACGAAGTCATGGAATAATGCCAAGCTTCTAGCAGGTACCAGACTGGACTTTGTCAACATGAACCCAACTGGCCCAAACGATACCGTCCTTTGGTTTGCTCCCGCACCAACGACCCGCAGTGGTCCGATATTGAGTTGATAATAATGTAGCACTGAGGTCTCGATCGAGTCATTTTGCTCAGGGGTGCAACTTGCCAAGCGTACACGCTGTTAGGGACCAACACGAAATGAGTAGCTTGCAGGTTGGCACTGACAAGACCGGGCCGTGACCAATTTAGCCACCCGAACAATGATTGATTAAGGCTAATCCCGGAATGTAACCTACACGCATCCGATAAAGCGCTCATGCAGTGATATTCACTAGTTCAGCAGAGGCACCGGCCATTTCTGGGCGAGCTCAGATCACGGGTCTAATTTCGGGATGCATCCATGATTGGGATGCCATATCGCGTAGTTAGTGGAAAGCGAGACTGTAACCCTGCAGTGCACTTCGGAACCAAAGGGATCCCATCGGCCCGAAGGAGAACATCAATCCCCGGCCGGAAACTTGTGCATACAACTGTTCCATTGCCAGCCGCTTGATGTTTCACGACATGACCGATGTCTCGGCGCGGGGGTCAGGGGAGCACAAACTTCATATGTCAGTACAGAGGTACGTACCACTGATGGTCTTTCATGGTGGGATTCAAGGTGCCAAGGGACTGGACCTCAATCGTCCTCATGTTCAGTTAAGATACTTGATATGGCAAGGGAAATTGGGCGTTGAGGGGTTGGTGATCGGTCTCGCTCGTCTACTTTATCTGAAATGTGTTTACTCGGTAACGTTACCTTATACATCCAGTTTCCAACAGCTACCGATGTGTACTAACTACAAACAGTCCCCCAGGAGCTGGCTTTTCTAAGGCTAGGTTTCTAAGGTACATTTGCTTGCCATTTTGGGCCATGTCACACGTATTAGTCCCGAGTCCAAGGTGAGAACATGAAGGTACCGTATCATGCCACATTGGCGAGTGCCACAAGTCCCGTGCTCATCAAGGCAAGGGCTTCCAAAGTATGACCGCGGCGAGAAACACTAGCCTCACTAGTCGTTGTTGTTATGGTCGTTCGCGCTGTTGCCGTTGTCGACGTACTGGCCTCGCCGGTCGTGGCAGTCGGCGCCGTAGTGTCGCTCTGGGTTTGGGGATACGCCTCAAGATAGCAGTTTGCATGGGCCGTAGCAATTTTGAGCCACTCGCGCTCGTGCGGGTAAATATTTCTCCAGGTAACGGGACAGCTAGTCGAAAGAATGGAGATGGTAGAGCTCTTGGAAGTCCAATAAGACACTACCTCGGAGACGTAGGTCGAGTAGCTGGAAAGGATATCCGGCGGTGCGGCAGTGGTGAAGCCGCACCAATCTTGCGGGTTCGACACGGTGCATAAGACATAGTCATGGCCGGTCGCCGTGGCTCTACATTCTTTGACCACTTCCTCGCCGTACGAGCCGATGGCAGAGAGAACGTTCCCGGTAGGCGTAGGCAGGTTGACGAAATACTGTGTGATGTTCTCGGTTATACACTGCCAAGGATCCGGCGAGAGCGTGCTTTGAGTTCTTGACGGTTGGAGCGTTGTAGTTGCCTGTCTTTTCGCGAGCGAATCGTGCTGCAGAGTCACAGGAGGCGAGTCGGGCAAGAACCTGGTTGACACACCCGATACCGTTATGGCTGTGAGGGCGGCGAGCCTAGTGGCGAGGATGTTGAAATGCATGATGTTTTCAAATAGCTGAGCATCAAAGCTTCAGAATTTTTGGAGCTGCAGTAAGGCGAGGTGATGCAGCTCGCGCGATGTCAGTCGCACTTGGAAATGGAAAAGAAGGAAGAGGGAAAAGATGGATATGATGTGAAAACCTGATGAGTCCGGGCAGGTACCTAGCTAGGCAGCTACATGTACCATATTAGTTTGGCACCAACACCAAATGGCGCCGAAATGGAAGCGATTGAGTGCCACGGTACTGAGGTCCTGCCCTCGCCATCCAGTAACAGATGGACCGGTGTACGGATTACCCTGTCCCTTATTGGCAAGCGAAGTAATGAGCCCCTCTCGCCTGCGCGAAGCTTTCAAAGTCACTTCAATCTCGGGTTGCGCTTGAGAAGTGGACGGCGCCGTTCCTACTGGTCGACCATCCCAATGCCAAGGGTGGCTCAGCCGCTTGGCATGCAGTTGGGACGGGAAGGTCTTGGCTCAGATCGCAGACTGAGTACATCCTCCGTACGGATCCGTACTGTACATCGCAAACGCCTGAGCCTGAGCTGAGTGAGTGGGGGCGTCCCCTGGCACGTGGGACATTGACAAACTGAAAAAGGCACAGTCTGCACAACCCTGAGGCTCTCGCGAAGTTTCCCGGTTCCGACGCTGCTGATTCCATTGCCACCAACAGTCCGCACTCTTCAGTTCTCACCAATCCGAGGTTCCATTTGGAAGCTGCCCAGGATGTCAGACACTGAGGATGTCAGCTATTCCCGCGAGGCCACGATTGCCGCCATCACCGACTACTACACCTTCCTCACTCGGATGTACATGAACGAGCACCAAATCATCTACCCACCCGCCGATGGCTGGCCATCCATCGTCAACGCCGACCCCAACAAGCTCCAAGACCTGGGCAAGTCGGACGAGGTCCTGTCGCTGCTGGCCCATCTTCCCTACATCCGCTGCCCCGGCAACTGGAGCCACGACGCAGATGCTATCCCTGGCTCGTCTTTCGCCGACTGGCCAGACCTTATTACACTGCTCGTCCAGGGCAAGATCACCGGGGAGGAACTGCGCAGCTGTACAGAGGGTGTTTCGTTTGCCCATGTGTCGCCTCCGCATGTTGTCGGCCTGGTGATGGGCACACACGAGGACAGCCCTGCCATCTTGCTCGACATCGAGCTCGGCATTGTTCAGTGGGAGAATTACACTTGTCCCGACGATATTGGAGAGAAGTGGTCGCAAGTGGATTGGGAGGAACTGAAAAAGGATCTGCTGGATGTAGATTATCTGGATGATGAGGTGCCCCAGGAAGAGGCCCGCTGGCGCTATAGTGCAGCAGCGTGGGCCATCCCTGACTTCTTCGAGGTCCTCAAGGACGAGTTCAGGAGCTTGAACTGGATTCCTATCAGCCCTCACACCGTGGCGCGCAGCAAGGAAGAGCTCCATAACGAGGTCGGCATGAGGTCCATGGTGAAAGAGATCTACCGGCAACATGGCTGGCCCGATCTGGCAGCCTACCGCAAGACGGAGTGCCTGCAAGCTGTGCGGAAGGCCCTGGCCGAGAACTTTCCTGACTCTGTGTGTACTCGAGGGTAATCAAGAACCTGTACGGATCCGTACCTATGTAGCATTCATCAAGTAGAGCCAGGATGCTGTTCGGTTTTCGGGACGTTATGTACCTGACTCATGTTGCAACCGGGGCTCGAGGACCTCTTGGAAGGTACTTCGTATCTTCCAACCAACGCTGTGCTTCTCAGACGAGTCTCCCTGATCCGACCCTATACCCCCGTTGAAACATCCCCTGCTGCTGCAGGTACATGGCGGTTGGAGCACGGCCGATGCGCCCCCCCACGGGACAATCCTTCCTGAGTCCCAACAACTCGATGTTACCTGCCCCGGTGAACGATGCTCAAGCCCTGGGTATAACCATCCGCTTCATTTTGGCGCAAGTTCCTTGCCCTTGAACTGACTGGAGATCTCACATTTTTAGCGGAATCTTGGACAATGGTGCTCAGAGTCCATCATTGAAGCCTCCAGTACCTTACCCAAATCCCTCCCTGGCGTTACAGCCGCTTTGCTCGTTTGTACCTTCTGCCAGGCTCTGTTTACATCGCCGGTCGTTGAGTCAAGGATGAAGTCCGGCAAGCTCTTTGTTCTCTCGGCGGCGGCCACCTTTGTGCAAGGTGCCATCGACCTAGATGGCCATAGGGTCGTGCATCCGGTTTCCGAGGACGACCCTTCACCCATCGCCGATCCTCTCAGCTATATCCCAGACCAGCATAACTGCCCTTTGCCTTGCTATGTCGACTACGCCAATGTACACAGATGGACGCCTTATTACTCTCTCGGCCGTTTGCAGCGCTGTGAGCTGCCTATGCTCCTACACTTCTCAGTGCTGCTCCCTTTGGACGACCCCAACACCGACGTTCTCATACGGACTTGCACCCTCGGCACTGATCCAGCTTCGGTGGGCGACAGAACCGTCAGCAATGCCACTTCAACACCGATCGACAATCCGAAGCTCGGAGACGGCCTGCTCGAGCCCAGCAAGAATGTTGCGCCGGCTTGTTTCATCGATGGCAGAGAAACAACCGGCGAGCTGGTGCTCGCTACCGGCGACGGAAAAGCGTCCAGAGGTGAAGCCTTGGGTCTTTTGGGAGGCATGAAGGAATTCTTCACTGCCACAGACAACTGCGACGAAACCTTTCTGTTCGCATACCATAGACAGACGGTTGCTAGCGTGCACATTGGCAGCGGTCTGGGCAAGCGAACGGCTATGTCGGCTCTTCAGGCTGTTGCTGGTAGGCTTCAGGACGACGAGTCGACGGCCAACCGCACCATTGCCCAGATTTGCGGCGATGGGCGAGGGCCTGAGACTGTGTTCGGCATCTCAATCGATACCACAGGCGATTTGGTCGGAATTCAGAAGATGACAGTGGCCTGGAGCCAGGGTGACTGCGTCGTGGGCAGTGATCTGCCCTCTCCTTTGAAGCAAGAGACACTCGTCGTCAGTGTGTTTGACATTGCGTCGGCGCCGCTGGCGGATGACGGCGGGAACATCACCACCAACGCCGCTGGCAACCACACCGACTACAGCAACGCCACGTCAGCTTCAATACAATCACGGAGCAAGATGGCAAGCCACCCGTGGCGGAGGGCACAGGCACTTGCCGGGCGCGCAACCTGCACCTATATCCGAGTCGAGGCAGGTGACGGCTGTGCTTCCCTTGCGGCCAGATGCGGGATTCGCGGTGTTGACTTTCTGCGATACAACCCCAAATCGGATCTCTGTTCGACTCTCCAGCCCGGAGACTACGTCTGCTGCTCTGCAGGCGACCCCTACTCGGAGCCCAAGCCTCAAGCGCCGCAACCAAACGCCGATGGTTCTTGCGCAGTGCACTTTATCAGAAACTTCGACACTTGCGCCTCGCTGGGCAAGACATATGGCCTAACTGAGGCGCAGATTGAGTCCTTTAACAAGGGCAAGACCTGGGGCTGGACCGAATGCAGAGCCATGCTCGCGGGCTACAACATGTGCCTCAGCACGGGGACACCACCGCTTCCTCCGCCTCAGCAGGGCACCCAGTGTGGTCCGCTTGTCCCGGGCACCGAGTGGACCGACAAGTCAATCACCATGGCAGACCTTAATCCCTGCCCCCTGAAGGCTTGTTGCAGCAACTGGGGGTTTTGTGGCCCCTTTCCCGAACACTGCGACATCCACGCTCCCGAAGGCGGCGGCCCAGGAGCCAAACTTCCCGAGTTCAAGAGCACCTGCATCTCGAACTGTGGCATGGAAATCAAACAGAACTCGGGGCCCCCGGCCAACTTCTCTCGCATCGGCTACTATGAGTCGTGGAACATGGGCCGCAAGTGCTTGTGGATGAAGGCCGAGAACGCGAATGTCGATACGTCGTACACCCACATCCACTGGGGTTTCGCCGAAATCGACCCCGCAACTTGGACCGTCGTGCTCAAGGATCCCCATCACCAGTGGCAGGCTTTCAAAAACTTACAAGGTGTGAAGCGGATCGTGTCTTTTGGGGGCTGGGCCTATTCGACCGAGCCTGCGACCTACAACATTATCCGTCAGGCTATCATTACCAACCGAGACAAGTTCGCGACGAATGCAGCAAAGTTCGTGATGGACGAAGGTCTTGATGGCATCGATATTGACTGGGAATACCCCGGGGTAGGTTCAGGGCGTTTCACTCTGGTTTACTTACTCGGTTTCTCCTCCTTCTCTCAAGCCTTTTTGGGCTTTCCCAACTCTCAACCGGGCACTTGGGTGCTACGGTTTTATTGCATGATTAGCGTACATCCAAGACCCACTGACATATATGGATATTGCAGGCGCCAGACATTGAAGTAAATGGTGTCCCCATCGGTCAGCCAGGGGATGGCGTCGCCTATCTCCGGTTCTTGACGGTTCTCAAGAGCAAGTTGCCGACCAAGTCGGTTTCCATCGCAGCCCCGGCGTCTTACTGGTACCTGAAGGCTTTCCCAATTGACAGGATTGCCGCAGTGATTGACTACATTGTGTACATGTAAGTCATGCCTTGGACCCACCGGTGTCCGGAGTTCTTGATCATCTTTGACCAATCCGACCTCTTAAATTCGCTATGTAGGACATATTTTCTAATATCTTACAGGACCTACGATCTTCATGGACAGTGGGATTACGGAAACCCCAACGCCTTTGATTCCTGTTTATCAGGCAAATGCATCAGAAGCCACGGTAAGACCATTATCACCAGTATACCGCAGTCTCCAAAACTGACCTTAATTGTCACAGTAAACCTCACGGAAACATACAACATGCTCGCAGTTGGTACGTTCTTCATCTAGGCACCAACATTGACCTAGCATAGGTCGTTCGCCTGTTACAGTTACACTGACCATCGCCCACCTCTATAGTTACCAAAGCTGGAGTGCCAAACAATAAGATTTTCGTCGGCGAGTCGAGTTATGGCAGGTCCTTCCGCATGGCTGTCGACGGTTGCTGGGGACCCCTGTGTGACTTCACAGGCACCAAACTGCAGTCCGATGCGAACCCAGGAAGGTGCACTGACACGAGAGGATATATATCCAACGCCGAGATCAACGAAATCATTCGCTCCGGCGAGGGCGAGGCCTTCCATGACCATACTTGTAATGTTGACGTTTTGTTATGGAAAGGTCTGTACTAATCTTGTCCCTCTCCGCTTACAAGACTCTGACCCCGTTCGTCCGGCAGGCGACTACATCAGCTACCTGACTCCGACAACCAAAGAAACGAGGCGGGCGGCCTGGAGGAGACGCAACTTTGCTGGCACAATTGACTGGGCCCTTGACCTACAGGCATTCGGCCCCGATGATTTCGACGTGCCTCCCGACCGACCTGCAGCTGGGGAAGAGGCCTGTATAAGTGGGACAAGCTCAGACCTGAACGCCTACGACCTGTGCGAGTTTGCCTGTAACTACGGGTTCTGTCCAGAGAGCACGTGCGAATGCCTGCTTATGGGACCTGCTGAACCACTTCCAGCCGTGGTGTCGACGGGCGACTTCGTTGCTTGGGACGACTTCAACGCCGATATGAATCGTCTCTGCAAGTTTGCTTGCAAGTACGGATTCTGTCCGCCGAAGTCCTGCACGACCCCGGTTGTCGACGAGTACGACGACGGCACGGTCGACCCCACCAACCTGGGAGGCATAATGGATCGGGATAAGTACAACGACCTGGACAAGAAGACCTGCAACCTCTGGAAGTACCCCAAGTACCGATACAAGGAGGAGTGCCTTGACGCATGTATCGACGCTGTCGAGCAGGCAAAGGAGCAAGGCCGCACCACGAACTACGGCTGCGTGGGCAACTTCCCGCTGGATCAGGAGATCCCATGGACGCTATGGCCTGGAGCCGGCGCCTCAGACATGCTCTATGTTCCGGGGAAGTGTGTGTGCGACCATACGCTGGTCAACTTTTTTGCCGACACCATCGTCGAAGCCCTACCCATTATTGCCCAGGTATGTTAACAGTTTCTTTAGCTCTGGGTTCAGTGTCCTTGAACGACCAAAAAGTTCCTTGCGCGTGACTCTCTTCTGACACCGAAACGCTACTAGGTCGGGTGTTATGTGGTCATGTCGGCATTCAAGTTGGTGCTCGACGTGGGGTTGGCGGCGATTCCTGGTGTAGGCAAGATCCTGGACGCCGGATTAGGTATGTGCAACATATATCTCGAAATTTCGACCATCATTTCAAAGCTCCGAAAGTCTTGCGGTTGTTCTGACGAGTTCGGGATAGACACCGTAACCACCGCGGCCCAGATGCTCTCATACGCCTACCCGCCCGATCAGGATCCAATCGGAGCTTTTGAATGGTGGCTGAGCCCTTGTGGCGGCACCGACCTTGTGCCGGACGAGGTTAAGCGGGTTTTCGAGGTCCTCAGCACCGTCGTTGACGGCGTGTCGAGCTTCAAGGAGCCTCCGAATATCCAGCGAAACAGCGGCAGAAAAGGAGACGACGCAAACCCTACCGATCGATCGAAACCCAAGGCTGGCAACGGCAGTGGTCCCAACGGCATTGGCTCAGGCGGAATTCGAAAGAGGAGGAGGTGCAGCATACGTCCTCTCCAGTCCACCATCATCGTGGGCAACCCGGATAACACATTACGCTACCAGTCGTGTACCCCAGATGGCAATGGCGGAAGTACGACCACCAAGACGGACATGGTCATCACGTCGCTGGTTTTCGGTCCGACGCCCACCACTATCGAGCAAGTCTGTAGTAAAGCGTGGTCTCAGGCATGCTACCACTACAGCTCGGCTATTGCTCAGAATCCCCAGTGGGGAGTATTAGAGTGTGTCCATGGCAATGTCAAAAACCCGGAGAACGATCGACCGGGAGTCAGAAAGTGGTATAGTCAAGCCGACGATTCGTGGAGGGACGGAGCATATCGCGATGCTGCGCGATGCGACGCCGACGAGTATCCCCCGCGCTATTTCCTCCGCGACAGCGACCCAGAGATGCAGAAAGCTGGTCAGCCAGGGGGCCAGTTAATGAGATACCTGCCAAGCCAGGAGAATCAGGATGCTGGTCGAAGCTGGAAAGGTGTCTGCTTCGCTCCCCATATCGCTGATTTGACGATCGCCGAATTCAAGAAGAAATTCGACGCTGTGCCCGCCAAGGAGAGAACGACGGTCGAGAAAAAAACGGACCGCTACAAGCTCACCGAAACAAAAGTCAAGGTCCCGGTCGACGTGAAGCCGTACTTCAAGTTCTCGAGCTTTGAGCACGCCGCCAACCCTCCTGTTGATGCCGGCATGTGGGACAACGGCTGCTGGCCGAAGAAGGTCGCTCCCAAGGAGCCGGGATTTACCCTCTGGAGGTGGGACCAGTGGTACGATGGAAGAACACCAGGCCACACGCACGAATACGACTTCACCGAGCCCGTATAAGCTTAACACAACTCCTAGCAGACGGAGGCTCCTACGCAGCGGCTGACACGGAGTCTGGCTGGTTTATCACCACTGCGAGCTTCATAGCATGAATCATAACAATTTAGAGACCACGGTTTAGCTCTCACCTAGCCCTTTAGCTATCTGCCATGCACTCCTCCGTCTTTGCCTCATCACCTTCGCAAGTCTCTGGCAGGCCTGGTCACATCTGCAGGAGCAGGAGCGCAACTACCGCCTGCTGCAGTCGGCTTGGTCGTGAATACACCCAAGCGCGCGTTAATTTGCCGCCCATGTGGTTACATCTTGCAGCCAAACGGCGACTACGTAACACGCCATCTCGCCGACAAGCTGTTGGAAGACCAACAGCCACGATTCCACGGTGATCACACAGATGATGGGAGCTTACAACAGTGGGTTTGAGATACTCGGAGCATCCCAGATGTTCTTGATTGAAGGTTGTTCTTCTCTCACGTCTCCAGCGAAGGGGGAATCGCCCTGACCTCGTTGCCCAGCGCCCTGGTTACACCTCACGTTGCCTGACGCTCAGTTGGGCAGCCATGCATCCAACAGCAGGGTACTTGCAGCTGAGCGTCCGAAGTTCCAGTGCCACGACTTTCCAACACAAGCATACTGTCCCGAAGCACTTGCGGGACGGCCTCTTCTGCTTCATCCGCTCCCTATCTCTTCCAGATCCGAATATGCTCCCCCTCCGCTCCCACTGGTCGCCGGCTCACCCATATCTAGCTTCTTATACTAGTGTCGCCTACCGTCACTACGCCTAGAAGACTGCTAGCGTCGATCTTATTTCACGTCATCTAGCGAAAGCCTACAACCGCCGCCGGGACCCGATGTGACGGGCAACACCCAAGGTCTGGTCAGCTCGCGCATATAAGATTGATATTACTACGACGAGAGCAAGAGCTAGATGACAGGATGGATGTATGGGTGGATGGAATTTATTTCGCCCGGAGGCGCGAAGCCTAAAGGGCCTTGGCACGCTAACTACATCTAATCGTTGCCGTTCAATCATCAACTCGTATCAACCCTCTACTCTCTCCCCTTTTCTCACGCCACCTGTTGCCTCTTGATTTAGTTTTAGCAGATCGACTTGGAGGCTACGTTCTCCAAGTGTTCAGCGTCTGTCACGGCGACTGCGCCGCGCCTGCCAGGGACCCACGGGTGGGGCCCAGCGTGTGGGAAGCACGGCCCCCCTGTGGTTTTGAGATCCTGCATCTCGCTGTCGCGAGTCCTGTTCGTAGCTCCTTGAGCTACGTCTTGACAATCAAGCCTGCCTGTTGGAAAGCCAACAGCCACGAATGTGCCGCACCGTAGTATTTGGGTACCAAAAGGATGGGCAACCACTCAATTGATGATGATGTACCTGTCTGTGTTCTTTCAGAAGTTCCCTGCCTGTTCCTGATCCTGAGAATCCTGGTGCCAAGCCATTGGTCACCCCTGAACTGCCCTCTCTGACCACCTGCCAAATCCAACACTGCCCGTACCTGACGGAATAGAGCTTAGACTGTAGTTTAGCTCGAATACAATTGTCATTGGATTGTCCGCCTGTCCCGCCGTGACATGCACTATATACCTCGACGATATCCTGATATACAGTCATACTAGAGAGGAGTATCTAAGTTATATCGCAAGGTCCTAACGGCCCTAAGAAGAGCCGGTCTATATACTAAGATCAATCACACAACGGAAGCCGATTCTTGACTACTTACGTAAAGTCTTCAAAACCGGCGCCTTTCGAAAGCTCTGAGAAAACCTTATCTAACTACGCCGACTGCACGCCCGCGCACTTTGCTGCGTGGCCGCGGTGGGTGTGGAAAGTAGGGCGATTCGAGGTGCTGCAGACATCCCGAAAAACTCTCACCAGCGCACGGACCAACAGGTCACCTGACTCCCACC